GAGGAGGGGGAGATTTGCTTCTACCAACACTTCCTCCAGTTTGGCCTTAGGTTCCCTCTTCACCCTTTGATTTCTGAGTTGTTGAGGTGGTATGGGATCACCCTCAGCCAGCTAGTCCCTAATGCCCTTCAAACCATAGTCGCCATGGTGGTGGTGGCTCGGCTTCAAGATGTGGATGTGATGCCGAAGCTCTTTCAGGCCATTTTCGTACCAAGGAAGCATTCTTCCGAGGCTGACATGTGTTACTTTTTGCCTCGTAGGGGTAAACCCGTCGACAACCCTACGTCTGTCCATAACTGGAAGATCAAGTTCTTCTTCATGTCTTACCCCAAGGGTTGGTCATCCAAGTCGGGATGGGAAGATGCCTGCACGACGGTTGAGAAGTGTGCTCCCATGCTTCGGTATGAGGAGGCCATTGACCTAGCTCACCTACTCATGCTAGGGAGAGTCTGAACCCAGCCTTTGGTGGAGCTAGAGCTCTCGTTGGTGTTCACAGGGCTCAGTCCTGCCCCCTTCGTTTGGAGAGGTCTTGTTGTTTCTTTAACACGTTCCCTTTGTCCGCGGCTAATGATGCTGGCGTCTTTCCCTTTTTCTTGTTTGTAGAGGTACCGATGGTTCTACGAAAGCTTCTACTAGAGAGTTCCCAAGCCAAGAAGAAGGCCCAGCCCTAGAAGAAGGCCAGAGGGCAGACTCCAAAGGGGCCTGCCAAGGAGGTGCCCGCGAGGGACGACCATACGCCTGCTCCCCCTAAGAGGGTAAATCCACATCAAGTCCCCATCAACCGAGGGGACAAAGGAAAAGGGTCGGTTGAGGTGGCAAGAAGCCGACAAGATACCAAGTGAAGAGGCTACCTGAAGTGGATGATGTCAGCGAGAAGAGGTTGATCGAGACAATCGAGGCCGACAAGAAGAGGCTGGCCAAGGAGACTCCAAAGGGATAGCCGCCAAAGAAGGTACCCCACCAAGAGTGCCCTGCAAGGGGCGCTGCGCCGATGAAGCCCCCTATGAAGGGGTGCGCCACCGGGCCTTCGTCTGCCCCCCCCC